AAATTGATATTTACAATAATTTTTAGACGAAAAATAAGAATATTATAAATTTTTGGAAAATGGGCGTAGCCACGCCTACTTATGGTTACATGTGTATATCTTGGTAACCGCTGCACCAATTTCTTCCAAACTTGGCACAGTTGTTGGCCCTGGTACAGCATAAAAAATCGCCGAAACTTTTTAAAATCGGACAATAACCACGCCCACATCCCATATAACGGTAATTTAGAGAAATACAAAATCTTCGATAAATCAGTAAATATTAAAATTATTCAAAATTGATGCTTGCAGCAATTCTTTACCAAGAAATACGTTTATGGTAAAATTTTTAGAAAATGGGCGTGGCACCGCCCACTTATGATCACATATAAGTATATCGGTAACCGTTCTACCAATTTTTACCAAACTCGGTGTGGATATTGTGCTTGCCACATAAAAGCAAAACGTTGAAAATTATTGAAATCGGACTAAAAGAACGGCCGCTTTTCATATAACGGTAAATTTCAGAAATGCTTGAAACTTCAATATTTCGAAATTCATACACCCCGGCTTACCATCTAGCGGTAGCTTTCGGAAAGGTGAAAAAATATATATTTAATACTTGCGCCGGGTATTTAATGTTCGGCTCCGTCCGAACTTAGACTTTCTTACTTGTTTTTAATTTCATGCAGGTCTAACTTCGTATATACTAAACACAAGCTGGTTGCACTTATGAAAGAAAATCCCAGTACCCAGTTCGGGACGATATCTGAGAATAAAATCGTAAAGCTGTTGATAGTTTTAAAATATTTTAATTCGATTTGTATCGAGAGCATTGCTGCAGTAGGTTTTGTGTAGCGGACAGCAAGTCTAAAAACGCCACTTTAGACAGTCGGAAGTTTTTAATAAATTTGTAGACAAATTTCCTAAATATATTGTATGTCAAAATATATTCGAAAGACTACACTTAAACGTTTTCTATTCCTGGCCAGTTTACTAAGCTCTCATCCTCTGACGAATCGTCAATACCATAACCAAACCATAATACCAAATGAAAGTTCGTTCCCACGACAGTCGGGTCTACGTAACCGGAACGACCCAGATTTATATCTGGCCAAGGACTGTCACTCCAGCAACACTCCCCAAAAAGTCTTTGGGGAATTTGTATGCTGCTACAACAACAACAACCAAATGAAAGTTCGTTCGATCAGCACTTTCGACCACAGTCGAAGATCGAATGCAACTCATCACAGGGGCCAAAGTATTTTTTGAATTTCAATTTTCTTTATGATTTTTCAACTTCGTGACTCTGATCCGAATAAAAAATCAAGATAATTTAACGAAAATCTATGCATTTTTCGAGAGAGCAATTGACACAAAATGAACAAATATTTTATCCGCTTTTCATTGAAAGTTAGTTTTGCGATTTCTTTACGACCGATTATATCCAAAAAGCTCCGCTTCGCTCCACAATGCCTTGTTCGAGGGCTCAGAACAGCTTGGCTATTTGTGTGTGTACGCACCCTAAGGCAAAATCTTTCGGATGGCATTGAAAATTCTGGCGACTAGATTTTGGAAAGCTGTCTGACAAGATTTACTTATTTGACTTGTTGATTCTGGGGCCGAGGCTGTGATGAAAACGTCTCCCTACTAATGCGCAGCTTAACTAGTTTATCCAGACAATTCAGAATGAAGGACATAATGCTAATAGGCCTGAAGCTTTTAGGACTTGTATTATCAAGTTACGAAAATCCGTTGGATGCAATTTCCAAAATCCATGCCCCTTTCTCTTACCATTGGCATAGTCGATTGTCCAGTATATCAAAGAGTCTTGCAACTGAAAGGACTATTGTTTTGTGACCTTTCTAGGCATTGAATGAGTGTTGGGTCACATGATTCCAGCGGCCATACCAAATATCGTATCTCGTGCTCTTTGACTCTCTGATCGGATAATTTTATACTAGGGGTATTCTCGATCCGTTGCATACTGTCTAGCATGGTGAATAGATAGCATAAATATCATGATTGGATAATTTCATTGATGTTTCAAGTGTTCAAACTGTTCTTATACTAATAGGTGACCAAACCGTTAGAAGCCGCTTGTTCCAATACAACAACGACACAATTGATAGGAGTGCATATAGCATATAATACTTTCTCAGAGATCTATGTATGTATATATAAGATATACTTATGTATGTTACTTAAGTAATTTTGATTTCAGAAGTTCGTGAAAATAATATTTACTAATTCTTTGTATATTTGTAGTTTGGGTGTACTTTTTGAAGGCTTCTTTTGTAACCTTTAAAATTAAAAGTAATTATCAATAAAATGATCTACATAAAAATTGCTTACTTTAGTATAAATATCTGAACTTAATTTGGCAAAGAAGAATTTCTCGGTTTTTGTGTTCAGCAAATAATCACTCGAGTTTCCGCCTAAAAATTGCTAAAACGGAAATAACATATTCAAACAAAAGCTGTGCGCTGTGATACAACAATTCACAACGAAATCGAATGAGTAAAATGCAAATAAAATACGAATAAAAAGATTTGTACACAAATAATACTTGTACATACATAGATTCAAGTAAAGCTTGAGCTAAGGTCCAAGATTAAAAAAAAAAGCCCAAAAAAGAAAATCATACCAGCATAGTTTCAGAGTTGTGGTGCAAAATTTAGCAATCTGTAGCAAATAAAGTGGGCAAAGTCCAAACGAAATATTTTGTAAACTGTTTACTTGCAATTAGTACACATACATACTACGTAAGTGTGTTCCTATTTTGATATATTTTCAGGCATAATTTCTGCCGCCTTTAAATCTTTAAATGCGTTTTGTTCGCTTAGTAAGCATTTGTGTCCCAATATTGGCGCCATGCTTTTATATCGAAATCGTGACTTAACGCCTTTTATTGTTGCGAGTGCAAATTTTTTTGTAAAAATACAAATAAATACGTCAGTATTTTTATGTTTACAAATTTGAGTCGATTCCCGTTCATGGCCCATTTAAAACCGATTTTTATAAATTGAAAAATTAAAAAAAAAAAGAATATACTATAAATCAATGGGTACACAAGTCTTTTGTTTCTGCAGAGTAAACAAAATTATATAGACGCTGAGCGAATATTCGGAAATAATGGTTATGTGGCAATCGTGCTAAATTCATAAACCAATTGAATTTGCAAAATTATATATGTATGTAGTTATTTTTGGTTTATTCCACTCTTTCGACTCCCTTCTACTTTTTAAGCGTCTTGCTATGAAAATTAATTAAAAATTTTACAAATTCCAATACTCTCCATGTTAAGCAGGCAAACGACTTAGATTTTAAAATACCTTAATTTTCTCTATTGACAAATAACTTCATTTCATTAATCTCTTGAAACATATTAGAAAATATAAAGAAGCTTCAGTTTTTGTGTATGTATTTTTAATAAAGACATAATTACTTTACTCCAGTCACAAGGACCTGCCCCAACAGTCATAACTTTAAATATTTTTTTACATTTTTATGAAGACTAGTTTAGCCTAGCTTTATAGTTTACAAAAAAAAATTACATTCTGAACTAAAATGTCCCACCACTCACAATGGAATGGCCTATATACATATCGCACACGATCATCAAAGGTGACACAACTCAAAATTACACGTTCGTCAGAAAATGCGGAAAACTATTTCTTAGCACATGCTAATCATATGGGCAAGGGAGACTTTGCCTTAGGGTTTTTCAACAAATTATAACAAAAATTTTCTTCGGCTTTTGCTGAGAGGTAAATACAAGCTCTGTGTACATTTTAATTTCAAAAATGCCAAATTTTGAGATGTGTCACTTTTGAAGATCATGTGCGATATGTACATATGCATAAGTATTAAGCATAATTTGGTATTGTTGTTTGTAATGGCAATCGCAATGGTAGTTGGTAATGGTAATGGTTTTGGTAATGGTAATGGTTTTGGAAATGGTAAATATTTTGGTAATGATTTTGGTAATGGTGATGCCAATGCCAATAACTATTAATGATAATGATAATGGTAAGGGTAGTCGTAATGGTAATAATAAGTTATAATTACGGTAATGGTAATGATTGTGCTAATGCTAATGGTAATGATGGTAGTGATAATGCAAAATGTAAATGGCAAGGGAATAGTAATGGTTGTGGTAATGCTAATGGTAATGATAGTAGGGGTAAACATATTGGCAACTGTAATGGTAATAGTAATGGTAATGATAATGATAATGATAATTGTATGGGTAATGACAATGGCAATGGTAGTGGTAATGGTAAAAGTAATGATAATGTGTTTCTTTAAAACATCCTGAACGGGAAATGGTGTGGGGCAGTCTGCCGGAAATACGCCAACTTTTCTGTCTTGCGATCCACCCTTGCATCGGTTAAAAGAGAGTTGGTGGTTTTTGCATTGCCAGAGCGAAGCATGATCTTAGCTGTGGATATTAATGTTTGCCACAGTGACATTGGTTTCGATCTCATTGCGATGTCTAGTTCTATTAGCGCAGAGATCGTCTATCCTATTTCTGTCTTGTCGCGCACAAAGCGAGTTTATCGTTATAGCCATTGCTGCCTTAATGGCTGCCTCCTGGCTGTCGATGAAAATATTTATACTTGAGGTTTGATGAATTAGAGCTCTAGTTGCAGCATAGAACTAGGTATCTTCTTGGAACTTTGAGTAAATAATTTTAAACTGTCATAAGCCAACCTGCAGTCACTTCCATTACCAACTTAGCCTGGGGAAATGGCAAAAAAAAATAAACATAAAAATTTGAAAACTAACAAGTTATTAATTTATTGTCGATCCATGAGTGGATAGCAAACATTGCAAAGCGGCAATTGTCGGCTGCTGTAGGCAAAATAGACCATGTAAATGTGTTCACCGGAGCTAAGCGCGTAATTCGCTACGCCCATTTTAGAACACGACGTGAGCTTTGAAATTGTTGCAAGCAAAATTGAAGTAGCAGCATGTATGTACATATCTACATATATTTAAATGCAAATACATAGATTAGTGTGCACAGTCACATACATACATATGTAAATATATACATACATATGTAAATGTATACATACATAGTCACAAAGGTGTAAGCGCTTTTATAGAAGTGGATTGCGAAGGCGTGGGAAAAGTTAGAAAAATAAACAAAAATATTTATGTAAATCAAATTGTGTTAATTCCATTGCTGACGCAAATTTCTGATTGAGTAAAACTTGTTCTATTCAATTTCAATTGGAGCATAGAATAAAAACTAATCGAAAATTGATGTATGCTGTCCATTAAACTCACACAAGTATGTAGTAAGTATGAAAAAGAAATACATAAATAGTAGTTGTACAAATGAAAAGAAATATATGTACAAACAGTAAATTGAAATTCAGCTACCGTGTAGCTCTTTAGAATTTTAGTGGCATAAAAAGTTGAAGCAAACTGTATGACCACATTTTTTATTTTTATTAAAATAATAGCGTTCCGCATATATTTTTTTTATTTTTTTTTTATGCTTTTTCTTGCTATACTTTATGTTGTTGCTCGTCCGCAAGCGCCAGCATTCACTTTAAAATGCCAGTCAGCATATTGCTTCCTTGCTATTTTACGGCTAAAAGCATGAACGCCTTCGCGAACAGCGTTCAAAGTCAGTTCAGGGGAATGACTTAAGGTCATTGTCACAGCAGTCGAGATTCAATTAACTTTTCATTGTAAAATTTTTATTCTTTCTGCTTTGAGTCGCAATTTAAACTGATTAATTTTAAAGAAATTTTAAATTTGTGTAACGTTTTTTTTTTAGGAAAAGATGTTGGCGATCTACCAGAGTTGCACTCACGGATCCAAATAAATGAATCCAGTAAATAAATGTATCCTTAATTCATGTATTTTCGAATTCCTGTAGGAACACGGCGACCTAGTGCCCGATGTGCAGATCGTGCTTATGTTAGAAAAGAACTCTTCGAAGACGACGGAGTTGATGTCTTACTACCCGACTATGCCCAGATACCAATAAAAATTTCGCGCATGAAAGGCGACATAGCTGATGGCGTGCCAGCTGAGCTATTCAAGTACAGCAACGAGGAGCTGACAAGATACAATCATTAAAGCTTATGCCGAATAAGATCCGATTAAAGCATGGCCGACGACTGGAATTTACGTATGCTATGCCCATTCCATCAAAAAGGCGACTTCGCCATGTACGCCAACTACCACAGGATCAACCTTCAAGTTCATATCCAGCGTCTGGCTTTAGAGCCGACAGTTTAGATTTGGTAAATCATGGACCAGGTATTCGTCGTACGCCAATTCTAGGAAAGGACCCATGAGGTTCGACACACACCGTCTGATTGTCGATTTCAAAACCGCTTTCCACAGCACGAAAAATAGCTGCCTATGCGTCGCGATTTCTGAATTTGAGAGGGGATACTAATAAGCTTCGCGTCCATCAAAGCAGTCCCGTAGGAATTGGAAGAGACCTTTTCGAGCTTTTCGAACCAATAGAGGTTACAGCTAGATTATCTTTTATCTGATGATAGAGATGGTAGTAAGAGCTGCAGAACTGACCTGCTAAGGTGTAATCTTTTATAATAGCGTATAGTTACTAGGGCATGACAGCGGCAACTGCAACCTCTGTTCTACAACTTTCAGGACAAGACGAAGTTAGTATCTCCTGTCATTAGGCAAAGATTCAGCGCAGTAGTGCCTCAGCACTGACGTCGATGTTAACAGTTAAATTTGTTAACAGTTTATTTGGGAATCAGCATTAAAATTTCCAACTGGGTTACTCCCATAAAGCTTTGATTGCGCTTACAATGCCAATCACTGCTGTCAACGCACTCGGCTGATGTTAATGATAACCAGCCAGTTGGAGTCGATGAATTGAAGGGCACACGCCAAGTAAATGAGCGATAATAAAAAGATATGCATATAGGAGTATACACATATGTATATACATATGTATATATAAAGTTCATAAACTTGTGAGTTCATAAAATTTATGAAGGATACTATATGCTTGGAGAATATTCCACAATAATTACCTTATGACAGATGCATGAGGATAATAAATAATAAAAGTACAAATGAGACCTAAAATTTCATTAAAAAAAATCTTAAGCAAAAAAAATAATAATTATTAAAATAAGTGAATGTTTAGCTAAGTATTTTCTTAAATTTCTTAGAATTTGTTCGAGCTATATATGTAGTAAAAGTTTCCTAGCAATATATTTGTCAAAGAGCTCAGTGCATCATTTCCTTTACAGAAGCGTCGTTTGCGCTCCTCTTTTTGAGGTCTTATATAAAATGAATTTAGTTAGCCACTAGAATGTTTAAGAAAGTTATTCGTCGTCAGGTTTTACTAGTAATCTTCTCAGATGATGTTTTTTTGTGATTAAAGTGAAAGTCTGCAGAAAGAAAATTATCTAAGAATTATACAAATTTTCTTTGGAAGTACAGCGTTTTTGAAACTAATCAAAATACCCTAAAACAGTTTAGTTTTTCTTTACCGAAATGCACTTTTTTTGTAAAGTCTCAAAATAGGGTATGCGTTGAACTGTTCTACAAAAATATGTCTCGAGTACTTCGCTCAGTTATTTACTTAAAATATGTTTTTTTTTTAATTTTTTTCAATTTTTTTTTTCTTTCAGAAACTAAATTTAAAACTTTTTTCATACACAAAACAAAATGTTAACCTGTGAATGTTGAAAGCTTTTGACGTTTAGCTTTCACACTGAATTGGAATTATCTCGGTCCCAGGTAACGAGCGGATTTTTTTTTTACACTGTGTTCTCAGCTTCGTTTCTTCGGGCCATGCCGTTTTTAAAACCTTCAGTTATAATATTTCTAAAATTAGTGCTAACTTCAAGATTGTCTCCGTTTCAGAGGCCGACAAACAGTTTGGAACACTGGGTTTTGGGTTTTACAGTTTTAAGGGTTTTCGAGCTATATGCCATATAGCTTATCGATATTATATCTATGACTGTGTCAAATAAGGTTTTTTTAGTTATGTCGTTCTTCCTTAACAAATCTTAAAACAGCTGGAGTGTTCAAACTTTCATTCCTGAGGTAATTAAATATTACTGGTTCAAAGTGCTCTTTTTTTATAGACAGCATTTGTATTATCACTAGGTACATGATTGAGGCCATCGAAATAAGATTTCTGAAGTCTTTAAATTCCCTAAAATTACATTACTTAATCAAAGAAAAATTAAGTGAAACAGAGAAGAGTAAGACACATGGCACGATTTAGATTATGGTAGCTATATAGCAGAAATATATACATACATATGTAAATTAGGGTGGTCCAAAAAAAAATGCATGTGAAAAAGTAAAGTCGAAATTTGTATGCTCTCACCCCCTAGGATTGTTCTATACGGAAAAATATACCCTTATTTTTTTTATTTTTAAATCAAAAAATATTTAAAGGTCGCTCAAAGCGTCCAAAGTTTTCCATGTATTTTATATGGGAAAAACAACTTTTCATAGAAACGGTATAGAATTGTTAAAAATCTATATTTTTCTAGCAGAAAACTCTGCTTATCTGCAGGAGATTCCCAATAATAATACCCAATTGTTTATTTAACCATTTTTTCATTGCAACTATAATTTATACGTTCGCCAAAAACCCCGAAAAATGCAATGGGGCGACCAATAAAAAATCGTTGGTATTAAAAAATGGTTAAATAAACAATTGGATGTTATTATTGAAAATCTCCTGAAGAGAACCAGAGTTTTCCTATCGAAAAATATTGACTTTCAAGAATTCTATACCCTTTCTACGAAAAAATTTATTTTTCACATATAAAAATACATGGAAAACTTTGAGCGCTAAATATCTTTTGATTTCAAAATAAAAAATAGGGGTATATTTTTTTCGGTATAGAACAATCCTAGGGGGTGAGAGCATTAAATTCCGACTTGGCTGTTTTTGGACCACCCTAATGCACATACGCATTAAGATGCCGATGAAGACAAAGTTCTGCGCTGCCAGAAGTTTATGGCAATTATAAAGTACATACAATCTTGATTAAGCGGCAAATTGATGTGACAGCCCAATTTATGAATTAAAATAAATATTATTTAGCACGCTTCTGTTCATATCTAGAGATTTATGTATGTCAATATGTACGAGTATGTAGATAGTATATGCGTGCGTATTTCAAGAATTTTTACCACAACATATATGTATATGTACATGACCAGGCTTCCGGCTTGCAACCCAATTTTTTATGATCACGAACGCGTGATTTCTACATACAGCATCGCGAAGTAGCATAAATTGACTTGCCCCCAATTGCAACAAAGTACGTACGTACATACATACATATGTGAGCATGTGAGCGCACAAAAGCCCCCCCAAAAAAAAAAACAACAACAAATACACAAAAATAAGAAACTACAGCAGTCTGATGAAAAACACGCCTAACCGCTTGCTACGCGGAGTCTTACTAACTGAGCTTGCGTAAACGGCTTTTAGCAACGTTGTCGTACGCATGAGCACAGGTGAAAATCGCCACTCAAACATGTCTACAAGCTTGACATAGGCCGCCGCAAGCACAAGCTTATCAAAGTGGCGGCCATAAAGTTAGTGGTGCGTGTATGCAGCTATAACCAGTTTTTATTTTAACATACAATTAATATTTTTTGAATTTTTATTTTTTTTATTTTTTATTTTTTTGTTTCGTAAGCGTAATCGATACGCGCAGACGCGTCAATGAAACGCATTATGTGCGCGCGCTACTTTCATCTCAACGCCTTCCATGTGAACGAAATTTTAATTATTTTCAACCATATTACGGTATTCGTAGCAAGCTAGCTGACAATATGCAAAGTCGCAGCTCTGGTTGGTTGGCCAGCGGCGCTTTTTTGGCCCGCTGTCGCCCGTTTTTAATGAATCTCCACTCAGCAGCAATTGCCACCACTATTGGCCACTATGGGCGGTTCCAACGCGCCGTTTTTAATTTTCATTAAATAATTTTGCTATATACTTATGTATGTGTGCAGCTAGAGCATGTAAGTGTGTGCGTATAGAAATGTGTGTGTCTGCGAGCTGCCGCGCCTGTTTTCCACAACTGGGTGCAGTTTTGCGTGCGCCGCCGTTGGTAATCGAAGCTGAAAAGTGCGTTTGCCTGTTGTCGCGGTGCGTAGCCGTTAACACTCGCTCACCAAAATAAAAGACAGCGATAAATGAAAGCAACAACAACAACAACAAGTAAGGCCAAAACAGTCAGCAGTCCACAGTCACCGAGATATGTATCTAACCACATCTAACTTTATACTCGCTTTGAAATCGTAGACAGCCAAAAACCTTGCATGCAACACATAAACCAGCAAAAAATAAAAATAAAATAAGCATATATACATAACAACAACAACTAAAAGAAGAAACAAGAAAAAAACGTTTGAATGGAAAAGTTCAGTTTACAATTCTGCGACTTTCTCGCTTTACCCACAACAACAAGCGCTTGCAATGACATTGAATTTGCGATAATTATGCGCTTGTATGTTTTTTTTGCTGCTGTTGTCGTTAGCACTGATATGTTTGTATGTACATATGTAAGCTACTCAAAGCAGTGGCAATGTAACTTCTCAACTCATCAACACGTTCGTTGTACCGCTGCAACCGCTGTCAATGTTCGCTCAACACTTTTCTGCATTAGCGGAAAATAAATGTGGCGTCAAAAAAGCGATTTCAGTGAGCTTGTTTTTTTTCGTTGAACAGTTGTTTTAGTATTAATTAAAAGTGCTTAAAACATTACCAGCATTTTCTATTAATTATTTTGAGTAATTACTTTTTTCCTGCCATGCCTCACGCCGTTGCTTTTAATTAATAAAACCAGCAGGTTTAAAAGCTGAGAAACGCGCAGAAGCCAACTTGGAGTTTTGCAGTATAATTTCTCAAATTTTCAAGGAATATACCGTCGCCCTAATGCCAGAAATATGAATGTGTAACAATTGAAATTTTGGGAAATCAAGTTTGAAAGTTTGTTTTTTAACGAAAGTTAACTTTACATTCATGCTTCTGGCATAAGGTAATCAGAGCCATGGGCTAGTGATGTGAGGTTCCGAGTATTTAAAGAACGGGTTCTATCGAGTCCGGTTCCAAG